CTGGCATAGTCACGGTGCCTAACATCTAGGAAGCTCCAGAATGACCTGTGAGATTTTTCGAAGAGTGCCGGTCCAGCTTGCGGTGGCGATGGCGACAAAGGATCACGACCTTCAGAGGCTGCCTTGACCGCGAGCATCAGTCTGAAAGCGACTGCAGTCTGAAATGTCCAAGGACTTTTGAAGGTGCTGGTAATCGTTTCTGACTTGATCACTGTGTTTCGTGCCGGACTGAGGACCGTCGCTCATGGCTAATGCTCCTCTCTGGGGCAAGACACTTCCGGCGATCGTCAGGAAGGTCTTTAAGATCTTAGATGAACTGCAGCGCAGTTCCGCTTACTGGAGCTTAACTGGAAATCGACTATTAGCTTATGGAGTGGAAATGAGTTCGTGGGTAACCAAGGCGTCTTCTTTCATTCCAACATTCCTGGATGGTTGAACAGCGCGGAGGGCTAATGACGGTTTCCAGTGATTGGCCTGCCATTCTTTGGCCGCTTCGATGAGGACGTTCCTGGATCTGGCAGAGGATCAAAGAGGCGGAGTTTTGGATCTTCCTGGCCACTTCATATTTGGATTGGCGTTTTCTGCAGTTCGGCGCCCACTTTGTGGGAAGCCTTTGCCTCCTTCTCCGTAGCGTACTAGCCGTCGTCCAGATGAACCATGCGGTCAATCTGGAGGCTGATAATTTCATTTGGAAAGACAGTCTGAGCCATGAGGTCCGCGGGAACGTCCCACGCGTTCTCTCCACACTTTTGCCGTTTTCTCCATGTGGAATTTAAACACATCCTTGTTGACGTACTGTGAAATTTGCCGCCTTTATCCATAAATGGATACGTGCTTTTCAAGTTTCTCAAGTTCCTTGATGGAGTAGTACCGGAGTCTGTGGTCGTCATGGAGGAGATTCGCTGTCCGTCCTAACCAGGCGAACCTACACCTTGCATCCACCGACATATGGAACTCATCAAACATGGCTTCTTCCTTGAAAAGCGAAAACTGAAACATGGCGGCCTTAACGCCTTCTGCAGGCTCAAGAAAGCCAGTCGTCGGTCATTCTCTATATAAGGGAGCGATAGGTTCCTAGAGCTCTAGACACGCGGTCAGCGACGGATCAGCAGCAGTCTCAGACTAAGAGAGTCTCCCTCCGCAAGCACTGAGTTGTGGAATTTTCGGCTGGAGTTGAGGATGATCTTGCTGGTTGCGGAGTGCAGCGCACCATCGCTGGATTATTCCGCCTGCATGCAGATCAGAACCGACTGCCCGCTGATCAAAATGTTCCAAGCTGATCTACCTTGTCGGAATACATATAGAAACCACTGGAATAAAAATTTTGTTTCAGAGCTTACCTGCACCAAAAGAGGATAATTCGCCAAGGTGGTGCCGCCATGTGGACGTCAGTGGCACGGCCGGAGTTTGCGCGGTCCACTCTGTGGAGATTATCGTCAGCATGTGCGCAGAAAGGATCCGAGACCCTTCACGAAGGGGAAGCTTCAGCGCTGAAGGCTTCGAAGCCCCAAAGCTCTCTTCGAAGCCCGGGTTGAAGCCTCCCCTTCATTTTAGGCCTCGAAGCCCTTCAAGCCCTTGAAGCCCCAAGCCCTTAAAACCCCCCTTGAAGCCCTTGAAGCCCCCCTTCAGCCTCCCCTTCGAAGCCTTTGAAGCCCTTCAAGTCGTTCCCCGATGACGAGCCCGAAGCGGAGGCAGAGAGTCAGGCTGCGCGCGCAGACCATCTCATCAATCCGAAAAGGTGGAAGCTGAGCCTGAACGTCCGGACATTCTGAGGGCTATGGCAACTGAAAGCGCCTCGGCTTCGGCTTCGAGCCTCCCTCTGAATGTTGTCATGGGGGATGCCATGACTGAAACACCCGCAGCAGAAGTTCATGGCGCTGCGGAAGGGTACCCAACGGTTCCAGGTGCCGGCCTATGGACTTGTCGGAGGTCAAGCCCTCAATGCCCGGATGTTGATTCAAGCGCCAGAACCTGCGCCGCAAGCTCAACACGAGGAGGCGAGAGCTCGAAGGCCAATTTTATCGCAGACTCAACGTTACCGAGGTTGGCGCCACGGAGCTCGGCCACGTCTCGGACGTCAGCGTCCGCGGATCTCAAGGCTGACGCTCTGGACAATGCCACAGGAAGAATTTGGCGTCCGCCAAGAAGAAAGGCTTCACATCCATTCTCGACCGGTACGCGAAGGACGATATGTTCATGGCAGCGATGGACCGTCGCGGTTTGATCCGTCGCAAAATACTCGTCATGGACATGCTTGCCATTTCGGTCCTTCTAAATCCTGGCCGTGATTTTCAACAAAGAAGAGTCGCCAGACAGGACTTCTCGGAAGCCATCAAGAATGGCGCAAGACTTGTGTTCTTTCCGAGGTCCAACATCGCGCTGGCACAGGCGGGTCTCACGACCTAGCCGGCTGATTCTTTCTTTGCGGTGATGTGGAACGGAGCGGCAATCCGTAAGTGACTTCGTGGCGGGCGCACTTCGCCAAGGTGGACCCGTGATGCTCCTCGCCTTTGCCGAAGGCTGGATTTCGGTGCCAACAAAGAAGTCTCCCGATGAGCTTTGCGACTGAATTCTCGACATCTTCGCCATGGATGAACGCATGGCAAAAGACGAAGGTGACTGACTTGAGGTCCAGCGTGTGAGAAATCGTGAGATTTCGCGCCGAAACCTTGAGGCCCAGCAGGCGAAGGCCAAAGCAAAGGCGCGACTCTGCCGAGAACTATCGTGGCGGGCAGTCCTCGTGGGCGCCGAGATGATTGGCTGGACCAACCAGCAGTGGGCCGATTGGAACTTCTGGCGAGAATGGCGTGATTACTCGCATGGATGGGGCTCCTCATGGCACTGGTGAAGGTCTGAGCCGGCATGCTTGCCAATCCTAATATGAACCACGTTCTCTAATCTCTTGCAGGACTGTTCTACTGGGCGGCTTTAATTTCAGGCAGTTTAAGTTCCCCGTCATTGCATCGCGTTTTGCTTTTATGCATTTGCAGCTTTTAACTGCGCGTGCCACCAAACCAACTTTGTGCCTCCCTCGCGGGAGTGCCGACCTTTGCGCAGCCTTTTCTTAGGCTTTGACGCGCGGTGAACACTGTCCTGCACTTTGGTTCCCAGCCCAGGTCTAAAATCAGTGAATTCACATGCGCTGCGCATGCAACTTGGTTGCTCTCTACATGTTGCATGCCTTTGCTGAGCGCTGATGTCTCGCAGGTAGCCTTACGCCGGCCCTGCGGCTGCGCCGTCCTCGTGACTTGGGTAACGTTTTCCTTCTTTGTTGCAGCTAAAACTCCAAGGTGTCAAAGACATCTCAGCATTGACATGCCTCGATGAGGGGGGTGTTGTTTTGCATGGGAGTTTACACATGTTTTACCCAACTCATGTTGATGGTACTGACGCATATGGTGCTCAAGCCCTCTGAGAAAACTAGCGTGCGTTTGCTCATGGTTTAACGGTACAATCCCTGCCTCTCCTACAAACTATAACTGGAAAGGCTTTCTTGAACCCAACTTGAAACATGGTTTGACCGGAATGATTTCACCTTCAACCAGGAACACCAAGAAGAAGAGGAGGAAGTTAGGCCAGTCAGCGTACCAGGAAAACTGCCAGTTGCATGCTGCCAAGGGAAAAGAGCGCAAAGCCAAAACCCCCCATGATTTTGCCGAGAGGGACTCCTTGAACCCAATTTGTCAGCTTGAAGTCATGTTGTCACCGGGAAGGCGTTCTTGATCCCAACTGGAACCATGATTTTACCGGCAAGGTTTTTTTGGACTCAACAGGGATTTCAACGAAAGGGCAGCTCTTGAGCGGATTCAAAACGTTGCAAGTTGCGCCAGCGTTTTGGACCACTCGGTAAGTCAAACTTCTACACCGCATTTGGGTGCAACTAACGGACGTGTTGCATGCCCCCAATTTCGAGTGGAAGTTGTCAAGGCCAAATTTTGAAAGATGCTTTCGACCTTGCAGAGTGTTGCAGTTGGGCATCAGGCCGTGTTGATGTTCTGCAGGTTTGGGAGCTGGCTTCAACCGAATGGGACTTTAAACGTGATCCGCGTTGCCACTGCGCTATGGCTCAGAAGCTTTTGCAAACATTTTTGCGGGCGAAGTGAATCAGCTTGCCACGGGCTCACATAACAGGATGGATTTGGGAAGAGATGGGATCAATAAGATAAAAACCGAACTTGGGCTTTTGATGTCTCATGTCAATCTGCTGTGCCCTGGTGTTAAAACAGTTTTGTGTAAGCTTTGCGTAAGCATCCCAAATGTTAGCTCTGCTTATATAACCAACGGCACAAAATGCGTGCACAACCATTTTCTTAGTCTCGGATTTCTCCAAATGCATTGAAACTAGTCTTGAGAAGGCAGCGACGGATTTGCGATTCAGCGCTAACATCAGTAACAGATCAGCGACACGCATACCTTTTACACTGTGAAGTTCCAAACCGTAAAGCCAGCCGGAGCAAAGGAATCAAAATAACAAAGTGCCCGGGTTCAGTGCAGCAAGCTTTGGCTCAAAAGCTTTAAAGTCAGATATCACTAGATTGACAAATCCATCCGTGACTCAGGAGATCTCAAAAGTTCAGGGCCAGGGGGCAAGCTTTCGTGTGGGAGTGAAATCAGGTTTTGAATTAACCAGATGGCAGGGTTTACAATACAGTTCAGGACAGAGGGTGTAGGCGGTGTTTTGTTAGTTAAGGGTTCTGCCAGACGGGTTGAATCAGTGAAGGTTTTTTTTTTTGGATTTGGATGTTCTGGTTCCTTGTTAAAGATGATTGTCATTGTTCGTTAAGGTCTTACGCGTGACCAAAAACGAATACCAACGTCAATCAATGCACTTTACGCCAAATCGTTTTTGACCCACACGCCACGCGTTAAAATGTGGAAGCCGCTGGTTCAAACTCCTTCACCCCGCCGCTACACCCAAAGTAAAGGCAAACTTACTCTCAAATGCAACGTCCAAAACCACAGGCTTCAAATTTAGAAATTCACAAATCCGAAGCTTCGAGGACATGTTGCTGTGCTTCTTGACCCTTTTTGCTGTTGCGTCAGCGGCCCGTGTGGACCTACAGCCTGGGCGTGCGGACACGACGAGTGTCCCTAGAACTTCAACATTTTTGTGATTGTGGGTGCCAGCTTACGGGTGTGCATAGTTTAGGACTTGTGTAGTTCAGTACGGAGGTTTCTACGGGGTTCACAGTTCTCAGTGGTCGAAGTTTTGAATCCAGAAGGTTCACAATCCATGAAAACCTTCTTTAGGTTGCACATTGGTTTGTGTTTCAGGATTACCGTCTAGGGATTTGGGTTAAGAGTTTAGGGGAGGTTGTTGTGCCATATCGCGTTTAGGTGTACGCAGGTGGATAGTGTAAGGCATCCGGACTAGGTCAGGGCTTTGCGTTGCGCATTCCCTACGCCCTGGGTTCATAGACCTCGTGGGCACCTGGGCATGTCTTCACTTACTGGTGCTGAAAGGCGACAGGGAATAGCGGCGGTTGTACAAGATTATTATAGGGATCATTATAAGGCCCCGCTCCCCCACGTCCCCGTAGGCACCAGTAAGATTAAGGTCGTCAAAAAGTTGGGGGAGAAATGCGACTGTTGCTTGGTTGCTGTCATCGAGTTTTAAAATATCAATGCAAAATACAATAAGTTGGTTTTCTATTTAACTAAATTTCTTAAACGCTAACCCAGGTTCGAAGATGGAGTACTACGAGCAGACCTGCTGCGGCGAGGGCTTGGTTTGCGCCAAGAAGCGTCACTGGTTCACTAAAAGGATTTTGATAACCCCGACCCCCCCCAAATTTGGAGCCTACAACTACCATGTCGCTCTTCAAGAAGTATAGTCCTCCTTTAAGTAGATAGAATATAGGGTTGGGTTGAGGGTGTAGGGATAGAGTCCCCCGTAAGTAGATAGGGTATGGGGTATTTGGGCATCTGAGTATAAACGTCCCAAAAACCATATTCTATCCACTTAAGGAGGACTATGCCCATGCTATCCTCTCACCTACAACGTATATCACCTGTCGCCTCCTGTGGCAACTCTACTCCTACGGTTTCGAGGTTACAAAACGGAACTGGAGTTTATGCCAACGAACTTGGGGGGGAGCTCGTTGGGAGTCTTGCTATTCTTCTGTCATCTCTGCAACCCTTCCAGTTTCAGAGTCACTTCAAACATCTCAACCCTAAACTCTATAGTCCCCCTTACGTAGATAGAATATGGCTCTGGGTATATTATAATCAGATCCCCATATACCCCATATTCTATCTACTTAAGGAGGATTAGAAACCCTAAAGCCCAAACCCTAGACCTTGTGCACATTCCCATAGGCTTTGGGTACAGCACCTGCAAGCTTGCCGTGGGGTCCGAGTGCAGCAAGGACAAGGAATGTGCAGGCTCAGGCAAGCCTTATCACAGCTGCTGGACACTGCTGGGAAACAAGTTTTTACTTTTTGTCGCCTCAGACTCGGATTTTGAAAGGATTCTTTTTAGCTTCGCGACTTTGAATGGTCAAAGCAGATTTATGAGTTTGATCAATTATTTGAGGGAGTCTCTAAGTCATGTGAAGTCCTTATGCAATCTTGATAAGAGTCCTGGTCAAGCTAATTTTGTGTTACAGCAGGACAGATCGCCTGCCGCGCAGCTTCCAACGGCAAGCAAAGGTGTTGCATCAGGTCCATATCTGAGGCCAAGAACGTCCTGACAGAATTTCGCCTTGGCAGTGCAGCGGCGCCTTTGGATAACTTTGGCAGGGATGCTGGTCAGAACCCCTTCGATGCAAGCTCGTGCTGCTCTGGCTTCATCGAGTATGGCAAGGGCCTAGGTGCCAGGTGCAACGATCCCAACAACCTCGAGGTGGTCTAGTTTCCATAAACAGCGCAGCATGGGCACATTGTACATGTGTATGTATGGTGAGCATATATATATATACACATATATTTAAGCACCCCAAAAGGCTGCAGTCCACTAATGGGAGAGCACCTGTATATATCCCAAAATTCTGGTCCTCATGAAGGGGACCCCGAATGTTTTTTGGAAACCCTTACACCCTAAGCTCTAGACCCTAAAACCTGATCGCCAAACCCCTAAACCCCTAAACCCCAAAACCCCAAACTCAACCTTAAACCCGACGAACCCCCTAAGCCCCTAAACCCTTACACCCCTAAACCCCAAAGCCCCATACCCCTAACCCCTGAACCCCTAACCCTTCCAGGTAAAGCCGGAAGCTGAGAGGATGGCCCGCAAGATTTTTGAGTCTGGTAAGCTCCCAGAGAACTTCGAGACAGATTCTGGGTTGCAGTTTAGGGTGTAGAATTGAGGGTCTGCGGCTTAGGGTTTAGGGGTTCGGGATTTGGGCAAGTATATACGGATTTTTTACGGGTTATTCGGGGCTTATAAGGGGAATCTTATTGTTAGATAGATTCCGGGTTGCGGTCCTGAAGCTGAACATAAGTTACCATTTTATCTGGAAGAGAACTCAGTTACTGTTTGTGCGCATGTTTGGTAACTTAGTTTGGGTTCTTTAGCAGCAACCCAGGATTGGGACAACATCCCTGAGACGTTGCCGGGCGAGTAGACAGTTGTGAGATGTCCAAGGAGTACAGGGTGCGCAGGCGATCATTCAGAGCTTTCACCATACGGAGAAAAGGCCAAAATGAGGAGGTGGTTTCTAAACATCCCATCATAGGGACTTGGGGGGGATGTCGGGGAGGGGGGTGTTGGGGTCCATATTCCCTAGATAAGACCTTAATGAGACCACATAAGCCCTTAATAAACCTCAACAAAGGAATATGGGTCTAGCACGATAATTCCCAATGTTTGGTATCAACAAAATCACGTCTCCGCATGGAGAGACAACCTTAGACCCTAAACCTGTAGGCTAGGGCATGACAGCACGGAAGCGGAGAGACAGACGGTGTGACTGTGTCAGGTGTTAATTTAACGTATCTGGAACATTTGGAGCCGCCGTAACTTGAGAGAAAAAAGTCCTCATTATTCTTGCAACCTTCCGCTGCTTTTTACAAAATGTACTGAGGGTGCTGTTGATCTGAATTGCCACTGATGTTGCTGCCGCCGCTGTTCTGCTGCTTTTACAATTGCGCCTGCTACTGCCAAAAATCTTTGTGGGGGCTTGCCGGCATCCGAGAGGTGAACGTTATGAGGTCGGACGGTGTTCTGAAGGCTGTTCTGGGGCTTCGCGGTTTTGGGTTCAGAGCTTCTGATTTGTTCAAGCTTGGGTGCAGGCGCCGGGATGAATCCCGGCACTTCCTGGCAGTGCTCCCCTCCCCCCAACTGTGATACTTGTTCAGAGTTCGTTTTACAAAGATTGTCCCAAGTATGAACCACAAAGGGGTAGGGTAGCGGGTGTTTATTCCCTAGTTGGAAGCATCGCTATCGGGCAGCCTCCTATGTGACAAGGTCTTGATCCCCCCGTTGCCCGGAGCAACACATGGCATCAAAACCGCATCACGCTGGGCATGTCGGCTTACACGGCAACTTGTTAGAGCCATGATTGCTCCGAACTACCTTGGGGTGCCTTGGCTACCGTTCATGTATTCGTTATGTGACATGCAAAGAATGTAAAGGCTGTGAGAATACTGGGCTATAACTGTGAATAAAACAACTCAGGACTACCTGTGTATTGGCTACCCCCCCATTGATGAAACTGCCACATGCAAGTGCATATCACCTACAACCCAGGATCCATGGGCTTACGGGGCAACTGCTTTTGTAGGGCCAGAAACAGCAAAAGGAGAAATACAAACTAATATAGTAGTTTCCATTTTTCTTTTCCATTATCCCTATATAACCCCAATATACTATAGTAGTTTCCATTTTCTTTTCCATTATCCCTATATAACCCCAATATAGTATAGTAGTGTCCATTT